AACTACTCAGGGCCGTTCCCTTAGTGTGGGATTTTCCCCTTTAAAACTAGACAGTCCCGGGGGCCAGGGATCTAGCCCAGTGGTTCCACCGTCTGCCTTGGAAGTGCAAGGACCCAAGTTTGATCCCTGGTACAAAAAAAAAAAAAACACAACAAAAACCAGACAGTCCCTGGCAAACCTGGACAAGGAACCCAAATGTCAGGAAGCTGCTAGAACTGTCACATGTGCAAGGGAGGAAGCTGAAGCTGTGCCTGCCTAGTCTCACACACATTTTCACATTAGAACCGGGTCTGTTGTCACTGCTCTGTCAGGGCTTGGTGGCTCTCTCCCCTGCTGTTGCACAGTGGCCAGGATGAGCCAGAGCCCCCGTGCCTGGTGTGGCTATGTGCAGTCTGTCGCCCCCCAGAGCAGGAGAAAGGCCAGCAACTGTGACTTTTGCCGGAGGCAGTGGCCTCCCTATTCTGTCCGCTCCTCGGCTTCCTAGGTTCCGACTCCATTTCCAGGTTCAGGGTGGAGGGAGACATAGAAGTGTGGGTTCCCTGGAAATGGGAAGCCCCAATATCACGGGCACCTGCTAGGCCTGTTACCCCACATTCGGATCATCCTCGAAACGGAGTGACAGGTGTCCAGCAGCAGAAGGGGCCCAGATCCTGGGACTTGGAGCCCAGCACACTTGGCCACAAAGTCCTGGCAACAGCGGCCTCTGAGGGGCTGGGGCCTTGGTGCACCAGTGAGGGGTTGTTCTATCCCCAGATCGCCTGGTCCTGCCAGCCTCTCAGAGCTGGAGCCCTATCTGTGGCCTGTCGCCTGTGGCCCATGTAGAACCCCCATCAAAAGTGTCCACCCCAGTGCTCATTCTGTTTCCCACTGTCCCTGCTGGGGACAAGGCAGACATGCCCATCCCTGGGGTGTTGTTTCAGCTCAAAGACTGCTCTGGCCTGGGTTTGATTCAGAAACATGAATCCTGTTCTGCCACGAGGTCCATATCTGGAGCACAAATGGGGAACTTGAGTGGGCTGAAATGTAGCTGCTTCCCTGCTTTTCCTCCTGCCTCTGCTCTTTGCTGACCCCACCTCAGCCCTGTACCAAGCTCGGCCTCCACTAGGCAGGACTAAAAGGATGGAAAAGGTTGGGGCCCAACATTGCTTAGGCCTGGGAGTGTGGCCTTGCTTCCTCACAGAGACCCTGCCAGTCTGCTGTTTGTCTTCCTGCCTCCTAAGCCCCCTCCTGGCTGCCATGTAGCTGGCATCGCTGCTGGTGAGAAGTCTGTAGTTCAGTTGTGGACAAACTTTTCTCCTTGGTATCTTTTTTTGGAGAGAGGCCCTTGCTCTGTGGTTCAGACTGACCTCGAACTATGTAGCCCAGGGTGGACTTGAATTCTCAGCAATCCTCCTGCCTCAGCCCCCTATTTGCCAGAATTGCAGGTGTGTGTTACCACACCCACTTTCTCAGGAGTTTATGAATTCCCTAATTCTTCATTTGTATCCAACTAAAAGTTCATCGCATGAAATTTTTATTTCAATAACTGACTCTTTTAATTACAAAAATTTTAAATGGCTGGGTGTGGTAGTGCATGCTTGTAATCCTGACAGGGGGATCACTGAGAGTTTGAGGCCAGCCTGAATTGCATAGCAAGACTCTGTCTCAAAAAATTAAAAAAAAACAACAAAAATTTTAAATGACTCTTCTTCATATCTATTTTTATTTTATTTCTGTTTTTGTTTCTTTTTTTTTTTTTTTTTTGAGATAGGGCCTCACTGTGTAGTCCAGCCTGGCCCTGAACTCACTATGTATCCCAGGCTATCCTCAAACTCCTGGTGATCCTCCTGCCTCAGCCTCCCAAGTGCTGGGATTACAGGCATGCACACCATGCCCAGACATAATTTCTGGTTCTTTCTGGTTCTGGTTTCATAGCTTCTCATTCAGGGCAGAAAGGTGCTGTCTGAACAACAAACTCTTGCCTTATATTCTTGGCAGATTGTGCGACCCAATTTATTCACCCATTTTAAGTGTAAATTTTAATGAATTTTGACAGGTTTATACCGCTGTGCATCCACCATTACAATTAAAATGCAGTCCCTTGTACTATTTCTGAAAACTGCCTCTGCCACCAGCTTTGCCCAGGTCCCCACTGATCTGCCAGCTTGTCCAAAACCTGATCAATGTGTGGTCCCCCGGGCTGGATCCTTGTGGCGTGTCTGAGATCTCTGCCCCACGTGTGTATCATCTCTGCTGAGTGGTGTCCACGTGTGGTGTGGATGAACTGCAATTTAATCACTGCCAGCTGTGGAGCAGCACAGGCAAGTTATTGGGGGTATGTTTTTTTTGTCTTGGGAAACACCCAAGAAGGGAATTCCCAGGTCATAGCTAAGCAAACCTTAGCTTCATCCCTAACCAGAGTAACCTGAACCTGGCATTCCGCCAGCTGTGAGGGCCCACTGGGCCTGTGTGGTCACCGATGCTCTAATGCTGCTCGTTGTTCATTTTTGCCACTCCAGTGGCCACCACCGATTCTCACTATGCTTTCGTCTGCACTGGGAAGTACAGCTTTGAAGTCACCTTCAACCTTCAACCCGAGTCCTTAGATCTGGAAGTGTCAGCCTGAAGATGCCAGATCTAAAGCCAGAATGTGAACGGGTAAAGCAGGGTGCTCTGAGAACCGCAGCTAAGAAATGTTAGGAGGAATATTTAACCGTGAGGGTCAGAAGCGTGCATCCTGGATTCAAATTCGCACTCCACTGCTCACTTGCTGTGTGACCACTGGGACGCAGGACTGTACTTTACATGTCTGCAAAGTAGGGATCCCAACAATCCCCACCTCCCAGGATCGTGCAGAGAATTGATGACCAGATACTTGTCACGCCTTGGTTGGTGCCCCCGGCTGTACTGGGCACTGTGAGAGTCGCTATGATCACTCTCCTGCTACTGAATTCATCAATCAGGCTACATGCACCGCTGCACCTGGCCAGCCACTTCCCAGGGTGTAGTTACTGCGGCCACTGCCAGGGGTCAGGCTTTCCCCTTTTCCTCTGCTCCAGCCAGGCTGGGATCCAGGGCTCAGCTGTAGCGCAGCCAGGCGGCTGGCCTGTCCCTCCCTCCCAGGTTTATGATCCCGGGGACCTCGGGCCCCTCCCCTGAGGAGCAAGACGGCTCGGAAAGGGGCGGAACCCGCTTGAAGTCTCAGTGCAGCTGGCTCTGGCATGGACTCGGCCCCAGATTTTTCCCCTCTTTTCCCTGGCCCAGCCACTCATCACCTGGGTGCATGCTCAGTGCATCGATTCACGGACACCCTCTGGCGTCTCTCCCTCACCCTTCTGGGGAGGCTGGGTAGCCCTGCATGGTGGCTGGGGCAGGCCTGTAATCCCAGCACTCAGGAGGCTGAGGCAGGAGGATCACCATGAGTTCAAGGACAGCCTGGCCTACATAGCAAGACCCTGATTCAAAGAAGAAAGAAAAAGATAGATACATCAAGGAAAATGGAAGATGGCACCCCAACCCCTGTGGTCCTGGGAGGCCATGAGCCTAAACTCAGCTGTCATCTGATTCCAAATTACAAATGCCTCCTTTCATTAAGAAGAAATGAGGAATTAATTACATCTTGAGGGCATAAAAGTGATGGGTGTGGACACCTAGCCACATAAGAGTGAGACGTTTCCTGTGATGCTGGGGTCAGACCAAGGCCTTCCACATGTAAGCAGCCCTCACCAGTGAGCTGCACCCCAGTGCCACAGAGAGGCCTCCTCTGTCCTCGGTGTCTCAGTGGCTCACCTCTGACATGCGCTGGGCTGATTCAACTCCTTTTTTTTTTTTTTTTTTGTACCGGGAATCGAACTCGGGGTCTTTGTGCTTGTGACGCAGGTGGCAGGCAGCGGAACCACTGAGCTAAATCCCCGGCCCTCAACTCTTATGCACCAGTAAGCCCATTTCTTTCCCCTCTACCTCGCTGGCTTGGCATAGCTGGAGTGACCAGCTTGGACAGCGATGTCAATGGCGAGAGAGAAGGGCAGGGCTTGTGGGTCGTCCCCCTCCAAGGCTCGGCTTTGGGTTCCAGGGTGGTACATGGGTTCCAGTTCCTACTGTGTCTGTCTTTGACGGCCTCCAAGAGCAAAGGCAAGGTTGTCGCTCTGTCTCCTTTCCCTGGGCTCTAAAAGTCTCACCTGGAAAATGGCCATAAACTTGTGCCCTTCAGCCCTGGGGTTGCAACTCAGCTCTGCAGGCTGTGGCTCTAAGCTCCACCCCAGTGCTGCAAAAACACAACATGAACAGCTCCCCAAAGCCCCTCTGCACCCCTGCATGCTCTGCAGCTTCCCTCTCCTCTGATCTCCCTGTGCCCTGTGGCTCGGTGTTTACTCCACTCAGGATTCACAAACAAGCTGCGTGCCCAGCGCTGCCTCACCCTGGGAGATCCTGACATTGAGGGAGGTTGAGTTCTGTAACCGGATCCTTGGTGCTGGGGGGCTGTGGCATAAGTCAGGGCAGGTGATAAACACCTAGGAAGAGGGTGGCATCCCAGGGAGGTAGGACTTAGGAGCAAAGGGCAGGAAGGTGGGGAGATCAGGGGAGGAGAGGGAGGGTGGCCAGGGCCAGGTGACACTGGAGCAGGATGCCTGAGTGGGATCGGAAGCTTGGACTCCAGCCTTTGTCCCAAGACACAAGGTGGTGACAGATGACACTGCTGTCAGGTGAGAAAGGGCAGGGCTGAGGGTGACCTTAAGCAGGAGGAAAAGTAGAGGTGACACTGTGGGCCTGGGGAGACCCCTCCCCACTGCACCAGGGCAGCCCTGACTCAGTGGGCACCGGTGGGCTTGGCCAGAGGGTCGTCAGGAGCAGGAGGCCTGGGGGCTGGCCAGGGGCGGTGCAGTGTGCCCCCTCGTGGGCTTAGCATGCCTGACAGCACTAACGCAACTGCGCCTGGCCGAGCAAATCTTTTGTCCTGGGCAGGCTGAGCCAGCAGGGTGCTGCCTGTATAAGCAGGGTCCCACAGAGGCCAGCAGAGCACCATGGCACAGCGCTCCGGGAAGGTAAGTGGGGTTGGCGTCCCTACCGGGATGGGCCCCAGCAAGGGGTGGGAGGCTTTTGCTCATCCTTGGGCACCGAGAGGGTGCCAGCATTGCTCCGAGTGTCCTGTGGGGATGGCAAACCCAGCAGAGTTGGCTTACATTCTTAGTTAAACGAGCAGCCTTCCCTGTGGTGCAGGTGGGATCTGCCGGGCCTGTCTTTCCAGCGGTCACATTTGGCTGCTTCCAGGCTGCAGGAACCTCAGTGGCCCCTGCAGCCCCCGCCCTGCTGTCTCTTCTTTGCAGGAAGCTGGTTAAAGTATGGGCTTTGCTCCCATGGATCTCTTAGGGGTACTTGGGGCTGATCTGAGGGCCCTCCATATCCTTGGGGTGCCCAGGTCACCTGATTGCCTCTACTAGACCCATCTTGTGCAGCAAGGGCAGGCAGTTTGGATCTCTCTCCCCTTTCTTTAGCATCCCTGTCCTGCCTACTCCACCAAAGCCTCTGCTCTCCAGAGGCTCCTTTCAAGCCTCCTCATGGTGACATCATCATTGTATCTGTCTCCAAGGGCCTGTGTTATGCTTCAGTAACAAACAGCCCTGGTAGCCAGCTGGCATAAAACAACCAGGGTATCTGCTCCCTGGCACTGCACAGGGCCTTGGTCCACCACCCTCCCCTGTGCCCCCAGCTGATGGAGCAGCAGGAGAGGGGGAAAGGAAGAGCCCCCAAAATCAGTCACCCCTGGTGGGCAAGATCCCATTTCACATGCATCCCTTTGACAAAACTTTGTGGCCACCCTGACTCCCAGGGGCCTGACAAGCAACTCTGCCACATTTTCCCCAGAGAACTGCAAATAGAGGCGAAGCAGGGTGACCACAGTGTCAATGGATAACATTATTGCCCTCTGAAGGGTCCTTCAGGGACCATATTCTTGAGAGTTACTGTTTGGAATTTTAGGTCCCATGGCAGGAGGTGGGTCGGGGGCTGCTGTTGATTCGGTTGTTCAGTCTGGGGACAAGGACAACCTGTGAGGGCCACTTAGCTACACGACACTGTGTCTCAACTACCTCTGGCTTGGTAAAATTCCAGATCTGACACCTGCCTGTTACCCACAAGTAACCTACAAAATACTAGGAGGTGGGTGACACCATAGAGCCCTCTTTGGGAACATTAATCAGGTGTCAGGCTCTGACCTGCCTGCCATGATTTGGCCTCTCCAGTTAAGTAGGCCTAGGAACTTGACTTTTTGAGAAATATGTGTTGGATTATGGTAATGGGTTGTGGGTGAAGTTTATTCTTTTGAAAACATCTCCTTTAATGTTATTATGGATGTTATATTTTAACAATAAACAAGAGCCGGGCATGGTGGTGCATGTTTATAATCCCAGCACTTGGGAGGCTGAGGCAGGAGGATGGATGTAAGTGCCAGCCTGGTCTACATGGTGAGTTCAAGGCCAGCCTGGAACGTACAGGCAAGATTCTGTCTCAAAATAAACAAATGAACAAAATTAAATAAAAATTGAGTTTAACAGATCCAACTGGAGTCTGAAAGAGCCCATTTTCAACTGGGTATCTAGACAAACTGGGAAATCCTGTTCTCAGAGTTTGTCCCTGCTGGGAACATGACTGGAGCTGTGTCTCTGCCTAATCAGCAGATAGTGCCAGGCCCTACTGAGCACAGCAGGCCCAGGCTGTTGTGGCCTGGGATTCTGGGTGCCATTGAGGATGCTGGGTCCCAGACAACAGCACCCAGCTCCCAGAAATGGACAGAAAGAGGCCCCTGACCTGGAGCTCTGCCCTGGCCCTTCCAGATCGTCTTCTATGAGGGCAAGCACTTCACAGGGCCGAAGCTGGAGGTCGGGGACTGTGACAACTTCCAGGACCGAGGCTTTATGAACCGGGTCAACTCCATCCATGCGGAGAGCGGGCCTTGGGTCTGCTTCGATCACCCTGACTTCCGGAGCCAGCAGTTCATCCTGGAGCATGGTGACTACCCCGACTTCTTCTGCTGGAACGGCCACAATGACCACATGGGCTCCCGTCGGCCTGTGGGAATGGTGAGTGGGGCTGGGAATGATCCCAGTGACTGAGCCGCAAGCCTAGGCGGGTCATCAGGGGCGTGGCCTCTCAATTTTAACATCTTCAAGACTGAGAGTCCCACGGTGGGTGTGTTGGCACATGCCTGTTAACCCAGCACTTAGGAGGCTGAGGCAGGAGGATCACTGAGAATTCAAAGCCATCCTCTGCTACATAGTGAGTCCAAGGCCAGCCTGAACTACGTAGGGAGACCCTGTCTCAAAAAACAAAACAGGGCGGGGATTTAGCTCAATGGTTCCGCCCCCTGCCTCCCAAGCACAAGGACCCAAGTTCAATCCCCGGTACCAAAAAAAAGAAAAGAAAAAAGTTTGGATTTGCAATCAGATGGGAGTGCCCTCTGCAAAAGCAGTCTGTTTGGGGCCTTGGCACTGCTGGTACAGGTGACCTTGTAGCACTCTACGGTCTTTGGGTCTCCTTGGAACAGCTAATGGAGGAGGGCAGTATGCAGAAAATCTGGGGACAGGTTCCCAGGACTGCAGTGGCTGCAGATCACAGGTATAACCCAGTGTGTGTATGGAGGGCAGACAGGACAGCCCCCTTCCCAGGGAAGGACTGTTAATGCTGAGTTGCCCTTAGGGTGGGATTTAGGAATGGTAGGCTCCCCCACATCACAAGAACCAAGTGACCTGCTATAAGCTCTGTCCTGTCAGGAAACAGATACTCCATGAGACCAAAGTGAGAGGTGTCGTCAGTGTCAATCTGCTACCTGACCCTCCCGGAATCCTGGGGCCAAGCCTCCAAGACCATCTGAGGGATCACAAGGAAGGCACCTCACTACATGGGGCCCCCCTTCTTTTCTCCACCAGTTGCAAAACCAGCTGTGCTCTGGCATCTCAAATTGTAAGAATGCTTTCTTAGTATTTCTGCTGTGAGACCTAAGTGACTCCATTCTAAAATTTGGTGGCATAAATTTCAGTTCTAAGAAAAACCACAAGATGTATTTTGACCACCTGCATGTGATAGTGTTCAGCCATCCCCTAGCAACAGCTAATCAGTAGTTAGCAACCAACCATTTGCAGCTTGGGTGCGCAAGGCACAATCAATCAGGTTTAATTGCCAATCTAGAACCTTGCTGTAACTGCTATAAAAACCCCTGCTGATTTGGAGTCGGGGCTCTCAATCTTGACCCGCTGCGGCGGTGACGGTTGGGAGTCCCTGCTCCAGCTTGAATAAACGACCCTCGTGTGTTTACATCGGAATAGGCTCCTTGGTGGTCTTTGGGGACCTCGAAATCTGGGCACAACACTGCCAGGCCATGGAGATTTAGAAAAAGGGATTCAAATGGTTGGCCCAGATCCTGCATAATGCTATTTCTATGAAAAGTATACCAGACATCTCGTGAATGCTGTCCTTGTAAGAGCCACCCCTGGCCAGCTGTGAGGTGGGCCTAGGCCCCCAGGCATCCAGCCAGTGGGAAGCTGGTCCTCCCCTGTCACATGAAAACATGGGGATCGTACAGGAGACGCATGTGTGGATGTTACTGAGCAATGTCGTCAAGACCAGCAGGAACTTTGGCACAGGAGATGTTATTTGTTTTAGATTTTTGGCTTCGTGTTTTAATAAAAGGTTCTGTTACAGATCTAAAATATTATCATTTGAAGTCCTGCCTGTGGCCTGCAGCCTGGGGTGTAAAAGTCAAAGTTGGAGAATGTGTTGGTGGCAGCTGGGACAGGAGTCCCCCAGGCTGAACACCCCAAGAGGGTCAAGGTCCCCAGCTCTGGTCTGAGTGGCTGCTGGCCTCTGGGGAGCCTTGCCCTCTCTGGACCTGGGATTCCTTAGTTGTAAAAAGCAATTGGAACAGTTCAGCAGCTCTGAAGCTTACCCTTTCCTCCCACCAAATCTCACTGGAAAGAATAAAGAGGGTTGTGTTGGGATGGGGGGGTCACACCAGCCCCTGCCCAGGGCCCTCCGCAGCTCCAAGCTCCTTGCTGCCTGGTATGAGGAGGAGGAGGTGCTTAGGGTTCTCCTTCTTTCCTTCCCCTCCCTGGCTGCTGGAGCATGGGGAGCACTTCTGAATAGAAATCTTCGAGGGCTGCAACTTCACTTCCTTCACAACCTCCCCTTCCTTCAGAGCCGAGGCTGGCCCAGGAGCTGCGTCAAAGCCGCCAAGGTGTACGGGATGGAGCGTGAGTATGGTGGGTGGGTGGGACGTCAGACCCCAGCTTTGTGCCCCTCATCCCGAGGGGCCTGTTCCCGCCTCAGCTGCCTCCTCTGCCCCAGGCAACATCCAGTCCCCCCACAAGCCTGGGGGACCTGGGGGCTTGGTGGAGGAAGGCAGAGCAGAGCTGGTGTTTGACCTCAGGGCTGCATGACCTTTAACCCTCCCGTTCGGGACTCTGCTTGTTCCCTTCCTCCTGTGACTTTAACTCAAAGAAATATCTAAGCCCTTATCAGGCGGAAGCCACCTGCATGGTAGCCCTGGGTCCCCTGGATCTGGTGGTGACCCCCAGGAGCCTTTCCTGGGGTCTGCATAGCAAGGGCTCCGCCAGCGTCCCGTGTCCTCACATCCATGTAGTGGAGGGCACTTGGTGGCGCTTCTGCCACCCTCTTCTCATCCTCTATCTCCTCCCCTGTAGTCTCTGCCCCTTCCTCTGGGAGATGTCCATGCAAGCTCCAGGGTGACCCCATTCCAGGTGCAGGCAGGGAGGGGCTGGCCCACTCCCCAGAGTTCCCTGGCTGGGCGGGGCCTGCCTTGAGCCCAGCAGCAGCGCCTCCACCCGCTCACAGCCCCGTCTCCCTCTCTCTCCATCCCAACCCCTGACCCTCCCAACCCAGACAGTGCCAGGTGCCAGAGCGGGGGTGGGATTGGGGGAGTGGAGGGGAGAGCTGCAGGGCTAAGTTGTGTGGCCCAGTGGCCACTGTCCCTCCCAGACATCATATGCAAGCAGGGCCTTGGGCTGGAAGGGCCCACAAACGCTGGGTCTGTTGGGGAGGAAGTCTGACAGCAAAGTGCTTGGGAAAAAAAAATTTTTTTAAAGAAAAAAAGTGCTTGGGGGGGCTTTTAGGACCAAGGTGGGGGATCTGCAAAGACCCAGGGTCAGGGTCAGAGAACCCTGTGGCCTGGGCCCCAGGAGACCCCAGGGAGCATGCTGTGTGTAACCCCTGGTGGAAATGTGACAGAGGTCAGCGGGTTAGCTGGACAGGCTCCCCCTGGCCTCCTCCTGGGGCCTCCAGTGTCCTGGCTCCTGGGTCCTGGCCAGTCTGACTTCCCGGGCACCTCCCATAGTACCACTCATGGGGGGCACACAAGGGAATTGGGTGTTTGGTGGAAGAAAAGAATAGTAGGAATTGGGCCCCAGTCCCCTGGCTGCTGCCTGTGCCGGTCAGAGGTCCTCCGAGTCCCCTCGGGGATCTGGGTGCTGCAGAAGAACGGTGGGAGAGGGCCATCCCGCACTGCTCCTGGCCCTCATCCTGGGCATTGAACACAGGGACAGCTACTGGGCACCCTCATGTCACACCTGGCCGTGACCACGCCGCGGCGGGGAGGAAATTGGCGGAGACGAGGTGGTGGCCCCTCTGTCCCCCGAGGGAGGGACCCCTGGGGCGCGGGGCAGGCGGGTTGGTGTCCCCGCCGCCCTGACCGGCCCCGGCCTGCAGGTGGGTGCTGCACGAGGAGCCCAACTACTGCGGCCGCATGGTCCTGCTGGAGCGCGGCGACTTGGGCGGCTTCTCCGACTGGGAGGCGCACAGCGGCCGCGTGCAGTCGCTGCGCCGGGTCGTCAACTTCTTCTAGCCGCAGGGACGGCGACCGCGGCAATAAAGGTGGTGGACGGCGGTGGTATGGGCGCCCCGCGCTGTGCGGGGCGGGAACCGCGGACGCGAGTGAACCCCGGCTGTGGGGGAGGCCCCACAGGCAGGGGGACCCCGCGGGGCAAGGGAGCGACCCCGCAGGCGCCCTGGGGCGCCTTCTCTCCTGACCCCAGGAACCCCTTGGGCCCGTTAGGGGAGGCCGGGGGGAGGGAGCCGATGGGGATGAGCAGAATGAGGGGGCGGGGCCAGGACCGGGAGGGGCCTAGGAGGCGGAGCCGCGAGGAACCGGGAGGGGAGGGGCAGAATAGGGGCGGGGATGGGGCGGAGGAGTGGAGGGCCGGGCTAGGAGGCAGGGTTCGGACGGAAGGGGGAAGAAATATGAGGGGTGGAGCAGGAAGGTGAGGGGGCGGGGGCTGGGCGGGGGAGGGGAACGCAGGGCGGGCGGGGAGATCTGGAAGCCGCCTGGGCAGGGCGGGGCCCGTTCCCCGCCACCCCTCACCCCCTCCGACGCAGTGGCCGGAGAGGTCCCTGAAGAGCAGCTCGCTGGTCACCGAGGGCGGCTCGAGTGACTCCCTGCTTGCTCCCACCACGGAATGGGGACTGAGAGTGTAGCCGATGGGGTGCGTTCTGGGAGAGATGAGATCTGGGATCCGCAGGGCTTCTGAAGAGAACTTCGGCCCTGGACTCCTGAGTGAGGTCTGTGAACGTGGGGACCCTGGAGGCGTCTGCTCCGTGCACCAGACCAAAGCCCGGCTGGATGAGGAGTCAGATCGCCCATAGCCTTGTGCCTGAGTCAAGGCTCCGGGTTCAGCTTTCTAACCCAGACGGGATCCCCCGCCCCACACCCCACCCGGGCTGGGAATCAAACGCAGACCTACATCTTCAGCCCTCGCACCCCGGCTCATTCATTAAACTATGTGTCCAAGGGAACCACCATCCCCAGAGAGGCTCCGTTCCTTGTCTTCCAGCCTTCCCGCCTCCCTAGGGAAGCTGTATCTCCCTGCTTTGGTCCAATTTTCCATGTAGGATTTCCGGAGACACCACATAGATCATGTGATGGGAGACGTGGCGAGGGTTTTGAGTAGGTGAAGGGGGCCGATTGGAAATGAAGTAGAATAAAAAGAAGGTAAAAAGGTGACAAGGAAATCGAGATTTTAAAATTGTACTTTTAGGAAAAACTGCAGCTAAGGACCCTCGTCTATAACCTCAGTACCTTTTAAATATCCACAATACCCACAATACCCACAGTACCTTAAAAGAGTCAGTCAGTCTCCCGAGTGACAGCTGTCCAATCAGCTGACCAACCCCTCTGGCCTCCAAGGCGAGCAGCATCCAGCTGGCCTGGGCCTCAGGGTGTCACAATCCTTTCCCCACAGTTGACGTCAAGGATGACACAATGGGACATTTACTGAGCGTTGACTTTATTCCAGGCTCATGGATGGAATCCATGTGATGATACTTAGTATGTTATGTAGTGACACTACCCTAGTCACTTTCCTCATTGCTAGAACAAAATAAGGAAAGCTTTATTTTAGCTCACATTTCAGTCCATGGTTAGCCAGCTCCAAGGCAGAACGGCACCTCAGAGGAGCCTGGCAGAGGAGAGCTGCTCACAGCATGGTAGACAGGACGCAGACGGTGAAGGAGGGAGCCAGGGAGGGAGATGCACCCTTCCAGGCCAGGTCCGCACCAACCTGACCCTTCCAACCAGAGCCCACCTCCTACCAGCGATCAGCTGTAAGCCCCCATATCCATTCACCTTCCGAAAGCCCCACCTATGAGCGCATGAGGCTCCTGGGGAACGTCTAGAAATGAACCATAATGGACACCATGATTGTGACACACTTATTATTGTCACTGTACAAATGTGAACTAGACACAGGCAAGGTTCCAACCCAGGCCTGGCAGGGCCCTGTGTTTCTATATTGCACAGGACATTCACACGCAGCAGGATATGTGGCACAAATGTGGTGCTAACGAAAACCCTTGCAAGACTCAGACCCTTCTTCCTGACACAAGTGCAACCACACCTGCTGTACCCACTTGTAAAGGCATTGTCACCCATGCAGAGTTGCTACGTGAGGCTTGGTTGTTAGTAGTGAGTGACCCAGTGCCTGGGAGGAGAAGCGGGGAGGGGCATGGCGCTTAGAGGTTAATCGGATTCAGGACTAACACCAGATGTGACTTGGTCAAGCCATTGTGCCATGCCTTAGTGTCCCTGGGCGTCTAGTGGGATAATAATACAGTACTACCATCCTGGGAATGAATTTCCGGGAACCAAATGAGAATCAACAGTCTGCTCTCTTCCCAGCTCCCAGGAATAGCAGCACCTCTTTATCGGGTGATTTAATGCTTTGGGCATTGAGGTCCTGGGTGACCTCCTCTTCCTCCTCCTCAGCAGTAATGTCAGAAATCTGCTTTTGGTCTGAAAGAAGAAAAACAAGATTCTCACCACAGGGCTCATGGCAGGCTTGTAATTTATCTGAAGTCCATCCAGGGGGTCAGTGGACCGAGGGTGAGGGCGGCTTAGAGCTGCGTGTTTCACATATTTCTGTCTCCACTCTGGTTTGGAAAGCTGGAGTTTTCAAAAGCTGTGTCCTTGTGTCCTTAGCCCTGAGTCACTGTGCCCTGCCGGAACTCTGCCCATTGGGGACCCACAAATGCTGTTTATCAGCCCAGTCTGACTCCAGGGACTACGTGGCCTTTAAGCCCAGGCAGATGTTTCTCAACAGCCAGGCCTGTTCATCCCTCCCATTTCTGGACCTCCAGGTGCACAGCTACTGGGGTCCCCTGTCCCCTTTCCTGCTGTGACCTCAGGCTATGGCTTCCTTATCCCTCAGGGCAGGATGCTTCAGAAGAGGACTATGCCCAGTTGTATTGTTGACCCCTCAAGAAGCCATCAGAGATGTTCAATCAAAACTTGTTGAAAAAGAGGGGTTTTTGTTGTTTTGTTTTTTATCATTGTTGTTGTTAATTGGTTTTTTGAGATGGGGCCTCACTATGTAGTTCAGGCTGGCCTTAAACTCACACAGATCCTCCTGCCTCAGCCTCCTGAGTGCTGGAATTACAGGCCTGGGCCACTATACCTGGCTGAATGAGTTTTTAAAATCACGTGTAGCTCAGTGGTAGAGTGCTTGCCTAGTATGTGCAAGGCCCTGGGTTCCATCCCGGGCACTGCAAAGAAATAAATGAATGGGCCGGGGATTTAGCTCAGTGGTTTCGCCACCTGCTGTGCAAGTGCAAGGACCTGAATTTGATCCCCGGTACCAAAAAAAAAAAAAAAAAGAAATAACAAACTAGAGGGTTTTTTTTGGTTTCGTTTTTGTTTTTTTTGAGACAAGGTCTTGATATGTAGTTCAGGCTGAACTTGAACTCACTTTGTAGCCAAGGCTGGCCTAGAACTTCCAGCTATCCTCCCACCTCAGCCTCCTGAGTTCTGGGACTACAGGCGTGGGGCACCACACCCAGCTAAACTCTGGAGTTTTAGTTGGGGAAGATCAAATTCTGGAGTTGGGTGGTGGTGACAGTCACATAGCAGTGTGAATGTACCTGGTACCCCCGCACAGTGCCTGATGCAGACAGTGAATTTTATGTTATGTGGATATTGCTGAATACACATTTTATTATTTATTTATTATTTATTTATTTTTGAGACAGGATTTCACTGTGTAGTTCAGGCTGGCCTTGAATTTGCAGCGATCCTCTTGCCTCACTCAGCCTCCTATGTTGGGATTACAGATGTGTGCCACAATCCAGACTATTGAACCTAAAAATTGAGCTCCCCTTCCGGGAGATGCTCAGGGCTGTTAGCAGGTGGTCTGGATACAGAAGACCCACTCTGGATTTTCCTAGGGAAACTTGCAGGTCTTACTGCCCGACAACTGCCCAGACACCTGCCCTACAACTCTTCCCCTGTCATTTGTCACCTTCTTATTGATCTTGGTGGCTCCCACCAAATCCATTGATTGCAGAGCTGAACTCCCAGGGAGACTGAGCAAGGCCACTTGCGAGCCCAGAGCCTGGGGCACCTGGGCCCAGCCCTTCCCCACACCTGGTTGCTAGGGAAGCCTCCTCCTCCCTGAAGGTTTATAAACAGCTTCTGGGCTTCCCTGCTGTCTGTCTGAAGCAATGGGACAGAGGCAGCTGCAGCCTCTCTTTCTGACCCTGGTGGGGGTGGAGGTGCTCCCTGGAGCAGGTTGTGGGAGTGTGTGGCAGGCTAGGCAGTGCTAGTAGAGACCTGCCGGGCCAGCCGGGGATTTAGCTCAGTGATTCTGCCACCTGCCTCGCAAGCCCAAGGTCCCAAGTTCCATCTCTGGTACCAAAATAAATAAATAAATAAATAAATATACATATACACACACACACACACACACAAATATATATACACGCACTGCCATGGTTGCCCTGCTTCATATCCAAGCTGCCTTGGGACCTGGGGCTGCACTTTTAGGTGGGGGAGTATAGAGGCTCTGCCTGGCTTCGAGACTGGGTGACTCACTTGAGTAAGGTTTAGGATTGAGACCCCACAAGGGACCTGCCCCCAACCTGAGACCACCAATCAGGAAAGTGCTGTTTTCAATCCTTCATCAGAATCTGGTGCTGTTCTCAGGACCAATCAGAGGCTGCTCCATTCAATCCTTATTTGCATGTGGGCACAGCCAGTCAAAAACTGCTGTTTCTGATCCTTCATTCACATATGGCATGAAACCAAATGAGTCTTTCCACGGGGGCTTTAACTACATCTAGCACCAGGTCAAGTGAGTTTTTGGCAGGAAGATTGTCCCAATGCCAGCCCAGGAACTTTGAATATAAAAGCCCCCTTTCCCTTATCCTCTGGCCACTGTGAGCCTTTTCACCAGCCCATTCTTACCCTACAGAGCTTACCTCTTTTCCACCTTCAATAAAAGTACATTTTCACTGCCTTTTCCATGTGTCTTGCACAATTCTTTGCTCAGGACACCAAGAACCTAGAAAGAAGCCCACAAGACCCTCCATCCAGTAACTGGATTGTGTAGGACTGTCAGGCTAGGGGGTGTCAAAGGAGGTGAAGGAAACTTCCTCTGTCTTCCTGTTTTGAATGTAGGTGTGATGCCAGGAGTTCAGGCAACCTTCTTGTAATCATGAGGTTAAAGGCAAGCAAGCAGGGAGATGCAAGCTCCATGCTCCTGGAGCTGCTAAAACAGCATCAGTGGCCACTTGTCTTGTTATGGTAGAGAAATGAGCCCAAGTTTATTTTGCCACTCTTGGGTGTTCTGCTCTTTGCAGCTGAGCAACATGATAATCAAAAACCATTACAAAACCATGACTTCAGGGCCAGGGATTTAGCTCAGTGGTGCTGCACCTGCCTTGAAAGTGAAAGGTCCTGAGTTTGATCCCCAGTACCACAAAACAACAACAACAACAACAAAACATGACTTCAGTTGGTTCCTGTTGTGCCTCTGCCTCCGTCTGATGCACTCCATGCCACCTGACAACAGTGCTTTGCACACTGGCCAGGGACTTGTCCATGACCTTGGTGAGCTTGCCGGGTGGTGACAGATGCCTTCACGTGCCCCCTGTCTGTCCATGATGCATCACGCAACCTAATTTTCTTCCAAAGACGCATCCTTAGGAGTTGAGCCTGAGGGGCACAGATGCCACACTGGGTGTGGGGTCCCCCAGGAAGAATGTGAGACCTTTCTTCATTTTTTGAGACAGAGTCTTGCTAACTCTAAGTTGCCCTGGCTGGGCTTGAACCTGTGATCCTCCTGCCTCAGCCTCCCAGAGTGCTGAGATAACAGGCATGTACCACTGCGCCTGGTCCTTTTCATACTTAATGCTTGCCTGTTGTGTGGACAGGATGAAGTTTGTGGTTCATAGCTGGCGAGGACAGAGAGGTTGTGAGAAGGCCGGCTCCTGGTCTGGCTGCACACCAGGTCCAAATTGTGCAATCCAGTGCCTTCCCAGAACTGCCAGCCTGTTTCCCCAGAGCCCCACCTTGGGGGGTGACCCTTTGTGGCTTTATGGGGTCACTGCAATGCGCTCAGCTAAACTAGGGTGAGATCTATCTTAGGTCAGATGCTGAGACAAATCAGCAGAGCCGGGCGGGTGCACACTGACATTGATCTCTTGCAGATCTGGAGATGGGATGGCCACAACCCAGGCGCCAGCCAATTCGGTGCTGAGATTTCAGTGGATAGGGCCCCACCCTTATGACCTGATTTAGCATCATTCATCGCCAAGCAGGCACACTGGGATCAGCACAGGAGCCTTGGGGTGCAGTTCAGTGCATAACAAGATCTGTGAAGTAGGGTAGGGTTGTCCTTGGCTGCTTTGAGTCCTTGATTTAGGAGATCGGGAGATTAAAACCAAAGCACACTTTTGCAGGAAGAAAACTTGCACTGGAAAGTTAGAGGAAGACAGGAAATGCTTCCACTCAGGTGGCTGGAGGTGGTACGCTGATGCAGGGATGCAGACCGGCCATCTGTAAAGGCCTGGCTGGTGGCTGGGGTCTCTGAACATCATCTCAGTTCTGCTGTCCCAGCTCTGGGATCTGCACAGCCAGGGATGCTTCTGTCCCAGGAAAGGATGTCTCTGTCTGCATGGGGTCTCAGCCAGGTGGGCTCTGCCTCTCGAGACATCCAGTTGACCACAGGCCCAGGACAATGACTGGGGACTTCTGGGAATCATTGGACATCCCCAGAAACCCCCATCCCGGTGTGTCTGCAGTCTCAAAAGGATCATGTAAATGCATGGCTGATTAGCCCTGTCCTGTAACTCACAGACAGGTTCTTCTCAGTAACCAGCATAGCCAATTCCAAATCATTGATGTTCTTTTCATTTTATTTATTTATTTATCTTTGAGACAGGGTCTCACTGTGTAGTTCAGGCAGGCCTTGAACTCACTTTGTAGCCCAGGCTGGCCTAGAACTCACAGCAATCCTCCTGTCTCAGCCTCCTGAGCACTGGGATGTGCCACCACACCCACCCCAGGCATTGTTTTCATCTCTAGAAGTTCAACTTGAACTTTGTAATGTCTTCAGTGATCTCATCCTGAAACATCAGCATCATCAGATTAAGAAACACCAGCAGTGGGCCGGGGATTTAGCTCTCAGTGGTTCTGCTGCCTGCCTCACAAGTGCAAGGTCTGGAATTCGATCCCCAGTACCCAAAAAAAAAAGAAGAAGAAGAAGAAACACCAGCAGGATAGAACAGCTCCTAGGTGTGCCTGGGTGGGTCATGGAGGTGTGGCCATGGGCACCATACATAGTGCCCCCCTGTTCCTCTCCAGTGCTGTTCCCTGGCTCTGCTTCCCAACCACCATGAATTGAGCAGCTTTGCTCCGCCATACCCTTCCACAATGATGTTCCAGCTTTGGAGCCAGCGGACCATGGACTGAATCTCCCAAACCATAGGCTAAATTAAACCTCTCCTCCTTTAAATTGCAAGTGTAGAATATTGGTTCAGCAACAGGACAGCTAATTAATACATCTCCCATGTCCTTCATGGGTGGGGGATGCTGGGGATTGAACCCACAAAGCCTCACACATGCTAAGCATGTGCTTTACTCCAGGCCCCTACATAACCTTTTAGACATACAGAATGCAGTTAACAACTGTTCTCCTGCCCCTGTCAGCACTCTTTTCAGCTGTGCCGGGGTTGCGCAGGTCCCTCTAACCCTTTCCCACGTTGAGCGGCATCTGTACACCTGTGTTGACCAGCGTTTGGCGCGATGCTAGAGCAGGACCTCTGGGTCCTCTATTCTCAGTTGTCCAACTCCAGCCACTATGCTGTCAGCTCAAGGATTCTGCTGGGCTCCATCCGGGTCCCCTTCCTGCTCTGTGGTCTGGGCAGTCCCTCAAGGTAGTGACTTGGCCCAGACATGGGCTCAACCTCATTTTTCTGTCTCTCGGGGATTAGTGTCTTCCACGGCCTGATGTCCAGGGTCATGAAAACAATTGTCTCACATGTTTTGAGTTTGTTTTGGTTGTTTCAGACAGGAGGCGGGATGGAAATGGGTCCTGGTGACTGACTTGGCCAGAAGTGTAAGTCAAAGCTAGTGACTGTTGAAAGCTGTTTCAAAACGGCATGCCTTCTGTCTAGTCGGCCCCTGACATTTCTCCACAGCTGCCAGGAGGAGGCTGCAGGGAGATAAAGTGGAGGTTTGAGGGTGGATGGGATATTTTCCAGCTGTCTTTCTCGCTGCAGAACAGTCAGGTCCTTAGGAACATGGCCCTGCTCACAGACCCAGGAAAGGCCCAACATTCTGGTACAGGATGTGGGGCCCCTAGTAGACTGTCCTGGACTTCCGGGCAGTGCTGGGGCCAGGGCCAGCAGTGGCCTCTACAGAGAATTTTTAGTGTGAGGAGACTGGGTTTCCTAATGCTTCCTCCTTTTTAATTTTAGGCCTGACTGGATCCTTTGGAACAAGATTGAAAGGACGCCGTCCTAGGAAGCAGGAGCATGGGGAGCAGGGAATGCTTGTTCCATGACAATTTTTCATCAAACATTCATTACATGTACTAATACAGTGGTGCCTCAATTCACGAACTTAATTTGTTCTATGATTTTGGAAAAGATGGCCACACTTGTATTCATCTGGGAAAGATGGCTGTGGTTGTGTTTGTCACTCAATGTGGAGTTTGCAAAAAAACCCAAAATTTTGCTAAATGCTTCTATTTGTGAACCAAATTGTTTGCAAACAAAACTGTTCATGAACAGAGGTACCACTGTACTAACATAGAAGCTTCATAAAGCCTTTAAAAAAAAAAGCACAATAAGTTGTATGTAGATCAAAATATGCATCATTAAATGAACCACTGTAACCATTTTTATTTTTTTGGTACCAGGGATCAAACTCAGGACCTTGCACTTGTGAGGCAGGTGCCAGAACCACTGAGCTAAATCCGATGCCCACTGTAACCATTTTAAAGTGCATAATTCAGGGGTAATAAGTACATTTCACAAGGTTATCCAGCCATTGCTTCGGTCTATGTATCCAACTTTGTCATCACCTCAGATGGAAACATGGAATGATGACACTTCCTCACCCTGTTCCTCCAAGATCCTGGCAACTCCTATTCTGCTTTCTGTCAGAATTTATCTATTCTAGGGCTGGGGATTTAGCTCAGTGGTTCCGCCACCTGCCTTGCAAGCTCAAGGACCTGAGTTCGAGCCCCAGTACCAAAAAAAAAAAAATTTGTCTATTCTGGACACTTCATATAACCAGAATTGTATGTCCTTTTTTTTCTGACTTTTTTTGCTTAGCATGTTTTCTGAGTTCATCCATGTCGTGACAGGGACCAGAACTTCATTTCCTTTATAGCTGAATAGCACCCCATTGTATAAGCATAGCGCAATTTGTTCACCTTCAGAGTTTCTGTATGTTTCAGCATGTGTCAGTACTCCATTCTTGTTTATTTTTTTAAATTAATTTTATTGGTATCTTTTAGGTATACAATATAATGACATTCGTCATTGGAAATTTGCACCTTTAACATAATCTCTCTTGGTTCTTATTTTTTCCCCTTCTCCTGCCCTCCCTTCAACCCCTCCACCCCTCCCTATTTACAAAGACTTTGTTTCCATTTTTTCATTTTCTCATAATAATTCCATTCCCTTCTTTCCTTTCCCCTACCCCTACCTCTCCCAC